TAAATAAAAAAGAAGACATGACTAGAATAATTCAACATGGAGATGTCGACAATCATCAGAAGATGTTGAGGAAGACAACACATGTTGATATCTACTTAATAAACACTTACATGAATAGATAAAAAGGGCTACGAATATCATTATTGTCCAAAGAACTTCATGAGAATCACGAAGTGTGTAAATGATCCTACAGTCAATTGGGTAAATTGTAAGTAACGTGTTAGAAGTGTAACGGAAGATCTGGTTGATTAGCATGCACAGCAGAGCCTATTCCTGTATTTGATCAGTTACTCATGTATACATTTTGATGATTGACAGACAACTAATCAAAACCTCTCCCAGATAATAAAAACCCCTCCAAGATGCATACCTGACATAATTTTACTCACGAAATGTAAGAAACGGTGCAACATGTTTCAACAACATAACATTAAATTTCACTCTAATAAAAGTCACTTTTTAAATGATCACTCTTTTTTGTGATCAATTTTGTAACATTTTGTCTTTTTCATGATAATATGTTCAATACCAACCAAAATGCAATAAGCCTCATGCATTATTCATGCTTTACCTTGGTCATGTGACCTACTTTGGTTATGTTTCACCTACTCCAAATTCACTGCATCCATTCAGTGGCAGCTCTAGGATATATTTTTTTGGGTGGGGGAGACTAAGCTGTCCGACAGGGGGACCTTGAGCTCGTAGACTCGAGCTGGGAAAAGGGTTTCAGAGGGGGGTTCGCCCTCCCAAATGAGATTTTTTTAAATAATAGGAACCTCTGGATGACAGGAAATGGCACTCACAGCCATTCTACCCCCCCCCCCCCCACACACAACACTGGCATCACCACTGCTTCCATTAGTCATTAAAATCAAAAGAAAAATAATTCATGCATAAAAGCATACAAACTGTAGCAGGCATAAAAGTATACATTTTTCCAAAAATGTGGTACCATTCAAGGCTCCTCCCTATCTATACCCTTGACTAGGTAAGGGTCGAAGTCTTCTCCATGAGTTGCTACACGATCTTATAACAGCATGAACCTTGAACGGGAACACAGCACTCCTTTGTACATGTAAGATGTGGGTTCTCTTCTACTCAGACACTAAACAGGGGTTGTCTCATTCTCCACACCTATGAATGGGGATAACATGCTCTCTACTCTGCATTCTTGAAAAGGATGTTACAGTCCAATGCCTGGACTTTTGTAGTCCTTGTAGACAAGGAATACCACACCACCTTCCACTGTTTGCACCTTGATAGAGATTGCCACATCCTCTAACACCCCACCTGGACTAGGATGCCACATCCCTTTCCCAGTCTGCACCCTTTAGAGGGACTGCCACATCCTCTACACCCCACCCGGACAAGGATGCCACTTCCCTCCCCATTCACAACTTTGATAGGGATTGCCACATCCTCTTACACCCATGCGCATCCCTTCCATTGATAGTTAACACAATCAGAGATCAGACTAGTTTTATGATGAAATTGTGGACACTGAAACTATGATGCATTGAGTCATCTGCAGATAAACTTGCTGTGTTAATCGTTCTGTCATTTAGTCAAATTAGCAGATAAGTGAAAGGACTGTAAAACAGAATGATTTGTAACCAATGAAACATACTTGATGGTTTATAGAGGTCAAATGGGGTCAGATTCAATTTATGAGTAGTATTAGAATTGTATGAAACTAATCATCAATTAGTACATCAAACAATTAATTAAATCATTGAGCAATAAATCAATCGTTAAATAAAAAATCAATTAATTATTCAATCAATCAATAAATCAATCAATCATTCATCATTTTTTCCCATATTTTTTTCAATTATAATTTTGATGGAGTGAACCTACTAAACTTTATTAGGGTAATGTTAATTCTTAAAATAGCATAAAAATAATGCTAAAAATAAAACATTCTAGTAATTGTATGAGTAAAAAGAAAATTCTCAAATAAGAGGACAAAAAATCTAGAAATAAGAGAAAAAACTGCTTGTGTTTTGAAGAAGAATTTCTCTTTTAAAGTACTAATGGTTTTTGACAGTGTGTTCAAACATAATTTAATTTTGTTTGACACTGTGTTCAAACATAATTTAGATGTTTGTTTTTAAATTTTGTTTAATGTAAAGCTATCATTTCATTTCATAGGTGAGCATTGCCTGATTTGCTGTCATAAAGATTTAGAATAATGACAGATCACTGTAACAGACTGACAACTAGAAAGCTAGCAATGGCAATCCATATTCAACATAGGTTACCTGTTCACATGTTTACGAATTAACAATATTCCATTTGCACTGAGAATACACACAGCATGCTCCACGAGACAAAGGCGGTTAAGTAGGAAAGAATCTGGCTTTAAGTATGAGTAATATGAAGGACAGGGTTAGGCGTAGAATTCTTGAGGAAGAATGTGTGCGAGGAATAAAAGTTACCCTCAATTGAGGATAAATGTGGACATCAACTGGTCATGTTACGCAAGCCCGAAGACTAGTCGTTAATGGGAAACCGTTGACTTAGATTCCGTCTTCCTACGAACATGCTTGAAAACGAGGACAGTTTGACGCTGATATCAATTTCTATTGACATTAAAATCTTGCAGATAGGAACCGAATCAATCTTGAATAATTTTCTTATATTTAAGAAAGGCAAAAACTGTCTGAGATGTTCAATTGATTGGCAGACCAAAAACCTAGCAGCAATTAAAATGCTAGTTTTACTGAAAATAAAGACTGTTGACTTATGGCCTAAGAATACGGATTTAGATAAGAGCAGAACAAAATAGATTGTAATTGGACATATTTAAGAAAATAAATATTTTTAAAAATAGGGTGCTTTAATAGTTATATACATTTAGGAGAGGCAAAGCTTTCAGAGGCCAGAGAGGTTGTTAGATCAAGGTCTGGGGAGGAAAGAGACATAGAAACTGGAACTTTTGGGCTATTTTAAAGATGTGTTGCGATGTTTTATAACACATTATGCCGAAGAAAGTTTTCAAAACCCCCTTTTTTAGTTTGGCAACCTTTGTAGTTATTGGTACTTGGCCTGTCACTATCTGATGCCTTAATTATTTTATTTCAGATTTCTACATCAAACATATGAGCTAGGTTCATATGGGATTATAGCCAGATGAAGTAGCTGATCTACTACTTGCCAAATTAATTGGATTAAATCCACTAATCGCATTCGACGTTAAGGTTAGAGCGAGATATTTTGACTACCAGAAATTCGGAAAACACATCATTAGACAGGAAGTACAATCGCATGGTGGTAATTACTGTGGATTTTCGCGCGACTAGTTTATGCTAGATCGAGAATATAGGCGTAGGCAAGGCCTAGGTCTCGGCGGTTGATTAGACTGGCCGAGGAGTCCAGCTGGAGGGTTTACACTGGGTTTTCCCCCAAGTATTTCGTTTAGCGCGTGGTAGGCCTAGTGTGGGCATGCCGATTTCAGGTCATCCCTTATTACATTGGCCGACCCCTTGCCCGTCCCACGAATAAAAACGTCTCTCACAGCCTTGTGGTCTGCTCTTAGATTTTTCAACTTTGTCACAACAATTTCCGATGTTATGCTATTGTGGCCTATAAGTCCCGCATTCTCTCTGCTATCCTTTCGTGGACCAGGACACCAGCCTTCTGACGGTACAATTTATCTTCAACTTTTTCAGAATTTCTGGCTCCCTCCAGATATCTATTAAATCACATTCCTGCGCATACGTCCAGAGATGGCGTTTCTTTACTGACTTTTCGGCCATCATTTGCAAAATAAGACTTGTTGAAATTAAAGTACAGTACACGGATCAGGGAGACTGCGTCAATTCTGAATGGTGTTTATGATAGCATGGAAGCATGGAAGGTCACTTTTCTTCAATTTGATTGGTGTATTCGTGACCTGTGGCCAACCGCTGTTTAATTAAGATTAAGAAGTTAGTCGACATAAATTTACTCGATGGGCTTAGTCGAGTTGTGGCCTTCATCCATACTTGAGCGGTCATACTCAAACTTATGGCGAAATCTTCTAGCTCATCCACTAAAATTATCTCGCCATAGTTGGATATGAACGGGGCTATGGGGTTATCGATAATTAGACCAGGTCTATACACTTGACCTCTCACTAAATAAACCCAGATGCAAGTAGATGATTATTGCCAAATCATATTGCTACCTGTTGAAAGGTATCAAAGCTAATAGAATGGTCCCAAGAGTTTATATCATGATATGAGCCAGCCAAACCAAGCCAAATGAATATAACATAAATCATTGACTATAATCTGTAAAACTATATGTTTGAAATTGTCCCTTTAAGAAGTTACAGAGAAGAGTTGTGATTTGCAGATCAGCTCTGTAAATTTGGTTTCTTTAGTTGTGTTTGAAGTAGAAGACATTGTTGAAAGATAAAGGTAACTGTAGTAATGTAATCATTTTATTATGCGTCATCTGGCCTACCGAGTCCTTCATTAAAGTCAATACATTTGGTGATGATCAAATAACAGCGCTGAATGCATTTAGGATCTTTAATTTGGCAACTGGTTTTTTTTTACCTTCAGTTTATTTACCTTCAGTTTAGCTCCATGATTTTAGTGACAATTCCATGACATTTGGCGAAACATCTAATGATCCATGTGAGCCAAGCATTTTTCGGCGAAATAATATTTCTAATCAAAATCAACAATTTGTTTTTACATTTATTTTTAATAGTACAAGCTTTAAAAAATAAAACCTAAAAAACGTAAAAAAAGATAACATAGGTACCGGGTATTTGCAACTTATGAAAAGTAAAAACAACATTTTTTTTCCATTCTACTCTGTTGTCTTGTGATGGCGCCCTCTATTTAATGGTTTAGATGGTGGAAAATAAGTTAATAAGATCACAGAGGAATAATGCATACATAACAACTGAGAAAAAGACATTAGAATGTTGGACAGTCTGTAATTTTTTTTATAGTGTTTCAAGTCTCAAGCTGTGCAATCCATCATGCATGCAATGCATGTATTACCTGTTTTGTATCGCAGACGTTTAAAGTCCCAAAAACGAAGTGTAAAGCCTATAAATAAATACATACTATCATACAATCATTTTAAAACATAGGGATAATGTGTAGCTTATCCAAAGACAGGAAGCTGTCATACCTGGTGACAAATATTTACTCTGTGAAGGAATATTATCAACAATAAAAGGTGAACAGTAGATTTATGTCAATAATAACCGATCAATAATGGATGTGAATTAAAATACAATCAAATGAAACTAAATATGATGATATATAAAAACTGATAAATCATATGACGATGTTAGAAACAGCACCATGCTGACACTCTTAGGATTCAGACAACCATTTGGACTAGGAAGAACCATACAAGATACAGGAGAGGCATTATGTACTCTACATAGTCAACATGATCAAACTGTTTTATATATTTTTAGAATATGTAATATAATATAAATTAATACAATATATAGTATAAGATAATATAATATATAGATTATTATAAGGTAATATAAAAACCTATAAAACATACAGTAAATAAATAATATGCATAAATATATAAGTATAATATATATAAAGTATTTTATATATGAAGTTACTATGCTATAAAAAGAGCAACTGTTCATTCTTTCAATAAAATAAAATTTATGTTTTCACATAATTTGTAGTATAAATAATATCAATGATGACTTCAAATAAGTTCTGTTTCTATGAGTTCAGTCAAAAAAATGTTCAATTTCTGAAGCGTTGTGTATTTTAGATTTAGGTCTCCAAATGAGCTATTATTCTGCGTTCTTCTGTTGAAAGAAAATTTTCTGTTTATTGACAGGACACGAATTTCATTCATAAATGTACGCCAACGTGGACGATCACCATGGGTATGCTAGGCGAATGTGAAATAACAGCAGCTCGCAATGCATCATTCTAACACATAATCATTACGCGATAACACAAGTTTGTGACGGTACGCCCTAGGGGTCAGAAACACATAATCCGCACCGTTAGCCAGAAACACCTGTCTGCTTGCAAGGCAAATGTAATGAGAGGTCTACTTTGATTATACAGTGATTACAAATGAAGTATTTGAAGTTGGTCACTTGAGGAATTGGACAATGTTATCAATTCCGTGAGGATTCTAGTTAATGGTTTCTATCTTGATGTAATAGGTGTTGTTATTGTGTTATTTTGAATTATCCATTGTGATGCAAAGTCTTTCCAATCTAATGGATTGTGAAGGGTAATCAGGAAGAATATCAAGAATTGAAAAAAGCTCAAATGCTTGTTCTTATATAATCCTGGAGATTTCAGATTTGAACATGAATTTCAGAACATGAATAATAATTACAGCCTGAAAATCCTAAAGAAAAAATCTTTGACAATGAATATAGGTGTCTATTTTACTTTAATTCATGACATTACACTTTATTTTAAAATAAGAATAACACATTTTATAAGAACACTTAGGCTAAAATGGCTTAAAAATTACGAACAAAATAAAAACAAATTGAGACCAAGGTAAAATGTCAAATTTTTACCGGGGCCTTTTTCTAGAGCCACTTTTTCCGAGGACTTTTTCTGGGGCCATTTATTTTTCCGGGGCCATTTATTTTTCCGGGGCCACTTTTAATTACATTTCAGTACAGTGTATACTGCTGTACAATAATAATTTTCTATGTTTGAAAAGTAAGTAAAATAAGAACAAACTAAGAACATTTTGAGCCTGAAATTGGCCAAAAAATAAGAACAGTGAGTCTGAGAAAAATTTTACTGGTTCTTATAAAAAAAAAGTGTATTTAAGTAGGCCTATGGTATCTAGTGTAATTTATTGTGTGCCTTGAGCACCAAATTTTGGGGGTGATATGCACAAAAAAAAAAACTATTCTAAATTCAAAATAGTTTTAAACCATCATCGATGAATAACTTGACACGTTTTCAAATACATAAACAAGTGACCTTGTTCGATATGATGGTTTAGAGTTGTGGAGTAAAGACACCTATGTGATTTTGATCAAAGCAAAATGTTTATGCCTGCATTCATACTCCGGCATATTAAATTGGCGGACGTTTTGATGTTGAGGTTGCAACATTACTACGAGCAGTAAAAGTGCACTGACAGAGGAGCGCATATTGGTCGCAGCTGAAAATTTATTGTCCATGGCGTACAATAATAATAAAACAGGCGGCAGATATTCTAAAGTCATGTTTAACTACTATTTTATGTTCAGATTTACTTTATAGTTTAATTTTCACAGAGACTTAACTGACGTTTTTAGGCCAGTTGGGGAGAAAATCTACTCATAATATAATCATCATCATGAATTCTGAACGTCTTTCCACATTTGACTTAACAAGACTTCTCTCATAATATGAAATATTATATTAAAAGTACAAGTAATGCTGGTTTATAGAATTTGTTAGAATTCTTGAGGCATTAACTTTGCCAAATGTAATTTATAGCATTCTTATTATTATGCTAGTTTTTAGAGCATATTTCAGTAAAAAAATACATTTGCAAATAATATCAATAATCATTGGTTTATGCAAATTTTAGTTATATTTATTTTGCCTTCAGCAGATATTTAAGTCAATATTATGTATACCGGTACTGCTTGTTTTTGTTGTAAAGCACTTGGATGCCTTTCTCTGCGGATGCACAATAAAAGAGTGTATAGTTATAATTATTATATTTATGTGAGCATTATAAATTACTAATGCTGATAATGCGGAAATGAAAAGATGAACTTACCAGACGAGAACGTTGTAGCATTGACAGTTTCAAATCTCACAACTGACGCCTGATTAGACACGCCGTTCCGTGCATACACGTTAAAGATGTACGTAGTGTAGGAAGCGAGTCTGCTTACATTGACTTGTAATACATTTAAATTACGATCACTTGGAGAGAAGCGGACGTCCGATGGGCAGCGTGCGCACTCAATGTTGTAGTACGTATCATTGCGCCCGCCGTGATTGAGTGGCGGTGACCAAGACAGCGTTACAACTGACGTCATCTGATGCACCTTTGCAACAAGGTTTCTAGGAGACGATGGAGTTTCTGAATTGGATAGAAAAATATTTAAAAGAATATGTTTGGGTTACAACTCCAACTGTAAACACCACTTATCATCATGTTCATTTACAATATATATTCATTGATTCTTATTATTTATGATTATATAGAAAAATAGAAAGTGTTATATATGCAAAGAACTGAATAACAATATACAATTACAATGTGGATATATTCTTTTAAGTTTTAATAAATTGCCTTAATTTCTTTGGTCAGGATTCGGTCTCCAATTGCTACTATAGCTTTGTATTAAAAGATTGAAAATTATTGGTAGTTTGAAAAAAGTGGTCTTGAATTTGAGGGCCTAACAATTACAGGGGTCTTGAATTGGACGGAAAACTGTTTGTAAACTATTTTGTTATGAACCTATTATAGTTCATAACTGTCAAAATTTAAATTAAATAAAAATCTTAAATATGTATATAATATATATTTAATTGTTATCATGCTGGTGCCAGATGAATTTATATCTAGAATTTTTTCAAATGGGATTGACATACTTTACTGTCGGAAAAGCATACAAGGAACATATAAATATTTGAAGCAAAGCATAGCTCAACAAATCAATAAACTTGCAGAAGAAAATTTGTTGGATACAAGAAATACGCAGGAAAACAATTTTAATCGGTTGTAAAAGTCGACTCCGGTAGCATTAATTGTGAGTCGTGAAGCTTAGCTTTCGCTAAGATCATCCGTTCTCATTCCTATGTATTAATGAATTTGCGAAAGTTTGTCAGTGCTGATCAGAATTAATCAAAGGGACATAAATCCAAATTAGGGCAAATTAGCATGCATTTTTATCTGATTTTAAACGGTCATTAATGAGCCTGAGCCTTCTTTGTTTTCATTTACATTTGCTAAGAGTAATAAACAGTATGGAATGAAATCACATCATGCATATTTACAGCTAAAATCGTAAGAGAGAAAAACAGGTTTTATGTTAACCTCTGGGTAGTTTTTTTTTGGGAATGATTAAACCATAGTTTAATGAGTCCTGATAAGGATGGCCACTGTATGTCTAAGGGCAATTGACCCTTACTGTATATATCTCATAAATGTAGGCTTTAAATATAGCGGTCATTTATGTTTGGCTTCTGCCCTACATCTTGAATAGTTCTTTAGAAATACTGTACTCATTCTTGTCTGTGTTACTAAAAATTTAATGGCATACAATGTTTTTTTTTGTTCCTACCATCTCTCATTTTAATTTGATTAAATTGTTAACAGGTATATATTTTAATTAGCATAAAAATTTAAAAATATTTTATAAAACTTTTCTTCTACAAGCAATATATATTTAGAGTATGTTAATATACTTTCATATAGAAAGAAGTCAAAGGAATAAAGTAAAAATGCATACGATATTTAAAAACACTATTTTTATAACATGTATCTACAGTATGTCTATTTAATTATTTTATTTATTTAGTTAGGCACATAGACCATGGTCTGCCAATGGCAAATGTCTGTTTTCTTCATTTATATGGCAATCCTTTTCCAAGATACACATATATAATGCTTAACACAAACCAAGTCCCTAGGGGTTATTACCTGTTACATTAACATGTATACATTCCAACAATTTTTAAACTTCTTTTTCAAAATGTCATAGATTTATGGGTTTTTTTGCTTGTAGTATCGTTTCTATATTCTAATTCCCTTACTGACAAATGAAACCAGTATGGCACTGATTGGCTGAACAGGAATGCCTTGAGAGTATAGGACCCAAGGTATGGATTGCCTATAACAAGTGAATTTAATTTCAGTACATATTCAAAGAAGAGATAAATTCTTTCCCTCTCCTCAAGGAATGGGAATATAACACTTTATTTGCCTCAAGGAGTATTTATTTTATTTATTCTGTCTTTATCCTGAAATAACACTTTCAGTGCTAAATCACTGATTTCTGAAGTAGTTCAGTCTTAACAAGAAAAGAAAACAATTGAAGAAATAAAATTTAAAACAATTTCTTAAAATACTGATAATACAATAATTTACATTGGAAAATAATATGCGTGGCAGGAAAAATAAAATGATGCAAGTTTATAAAGAATTTGAAATAAAGTTTTAAATTTTAAAGTGTCATTGATTCAAAGTTTATTTTAATATTATCTGGGAGGTTATTCCATAATTTAGTTGATCTGTAAACCAAAGTTCTTTTACCTTGCATATTATTCCATGGATGTTCAATTAGAGTATTATTGCTTTGACTTCTTGTAGAGTGCGAGTGCAAATCATTGAAAACAAAATGTTGAGATAAGTATAATGAAGCTTGGTCATTTAAACATTTAAAAAGCATTATAAGCTATTGTTCTGCCCATTTATCAGTCAGTTTGCACCATCGTAAAGAACTTAAAAATATCTACAACAGCAGTTTTTATATCAGTGGAAAGTAAAAGTCTATTTAAAAGTACTTGAAGATAGCTTTAAAGTTTAATATTACAACTTGACCAGACACAATTACAATAATCAAAAAGAGGCATAACTAAAGCATTTGCCAACATTTTAAGAGTATTATTGGGTAAATAATACTTAACACAGTGGATAACGCCAATTCTTTTGAGATATTACTTGTTTGTTTGTCAATATGTTCTGACTATATTTAGGATCGAAAACTACTCCAAGGTATTTGAATGAATCAACCTGTCAATCACAGTTCCGTTATTGGATAAAGGAATATTTGAAAATTTAGGTAAAATTGGAGTACTTCCAAATATCATAAACTTAGTTTTTTTAATATTTAAAGTGAGTTTATTTTTATCAAACCATTGAGCAATTTTGTTTAAATTAAAATTTAGTTCATTTTGGAGGAGGGTGGGGTAGCGATAATCCTTCCCAATACTTGGATAAATTTTCCTCTCCACATGAAGTAGTACTCTTTCCTTTCATTTTCCTAGGGAATTGGATAGGAATTCATCCTTCTCCTCAGGGAATAATGATCCTTCAATCAGCGTATGTGAATAAGGATTCTTAATAATTATTTAACACAGTACAGTATTGGTTTTATGGCAATGTTGTTCAATTTGTATGTGTAAAAACAGAAAACAACCCACAAGTAATGACATTTCTTCTCTCATTTCAAATGTTACACTTCTTCAAAATTATATTTCATAGGAAAATATAAGGGAAAAATGATTTATCAGTTAGTTCAGCTGTAGTGATTTCTAAATCATAGAGAATGGATCTTTTCTGCGCTATGGGAATCCAGTTTTATTGGCATCCATGATAAGGTAACCAAGGCATCTAAAAAAGTCACATTATAACATGCGTAAACTATAACATAATACGTCAGAGAGTGTGTAGAAATATAAATGAGGCTGCGTCATAACCAATTAGGGTGAGCAACTTCTGGATGTTCAACTTTATCAAAACAAGTATTTAATGTTTGAAAGTAATTATCAATTTTGTAGTGATCTTAAAACTTTTCCATAGGCCAATCTACTACAATATAATAATTATTATGTGGTCATAAGATATTATTTGATTTTTAGAGACTTGTTAGAAATTTATTTTTCAAATGTTTTAAATGATTAAAAATATAAAATTATATACTAAAAATACTAATCATGAATAAATATTTTTAAGTTATAAACATCTCTTCACCATTCTCATAATGTACTTTTGGGTGTTGTTGTTTGAATGGGTACTTTTTCCTTTGAAAAAAACACATAACTAATTTGATAAAAATATGACAATTAAGGATTTTATTCAATACATCAAAATTATCATCAATCTAATCCTTTATAAGTACAAATTTTATAAGAACACTGAGGAAGAAATCGCTTAAAAATTAAGAACAAAATAAGAACAAAGCTTATGTGTACATCAATTACAGTGAATATGTCATACACTCTATAACATAGAACAGTATATACTGCTACAATAATAATTTGGTATGTTTGAAAAGTATGTAAAAGTAAGAACAAAATAAAAACACTTTGAGTCTAAAATCAGCCAAAAAGTAAGATCTATGAGCCTAGGAATATTTTACTGGTTCTTATAAAAAAAAGTATGACTGCCACAAATTAAAACTATAGAACAGTGAATTAAGATAACTTTAGTAAGTCTTAATACCTACCAGTGGTAGTTATTTCACTGTTTCTGCATTCTTTCCTATATATGTTAATTATAATTCATCCATTTATCTAGTTCCATATTATCTAACATCATGTTTTATCCAATTAAGAGTTCATGTAAGGCTTTGGTAAGTTATATTTTAGTAGCATACACATCTAAAATACTGTATTAAAGTCACATTGCAATTTTTTACCCCTAATTTACGGCTCAGCCCTGAAGGTTGCATAAAAAAAAAATCCATCAACAAAATCTGGTGACCTGTCGTAACACTTTGGTTTGATAGGAGATGCCTGGAAGCAGATTGTAACATTTCCACAACTGTGTCCCATCGTTACGAGGAATGAAGAAATGACAACATAAAATCGTTATTGCCATACCGATGCCAACTTATAAATAGATATGACGAAAACCAAGTGAAATATATAGTATTAGACACAATGAAAGTTAGTTATTAGTCGTTATTACAGATACCTGCTGGTGCTAACTGCTTCTGTTAGCTCTCATTTGTAGATACCTGTTGGTATTAGCTTTGTAAATGACTGTTAATGTTAGCTGCTATTTGCAGATACCTGTGAACTGCTAGTCTGTTAGCTATGTTAGTTTTTTCTGTCATTGTAATTGCTATTAATGTAACTGTCTCATGAGTTGATACCATTATTGTGAGCCCGCATTTATCGTTCTATGCCTTTAACATGTAAACATCCAGAGCTTTGCAACATTCACACTGAATATTATGACTTCAATATGTTACACACTCAGAAGCTGACCCCGAATTCAACTGGACTGTTGAAGTTGATAGAAATATCTCAAGTGAATTATAACTGCACTAAGGGTTCCTCTGAGGTGAAGTTAATGAGAAGTTAAATGGAAGTAATATTAGGTAAATGTGTGGTAAAACTTTTTAGAGGTCAGGTTAGGCTGAGATATTACATCATTCTTTTTTTTGATAATGTTTTCTAAGCATCTGAATAACATTGAGTGATGCACTGTACTGCTCATCAGCGATTATTTGCTAATGAACATCGAGCATTTGGATGGAAGACTGCGAGAGTTGGCAACCTTATCACCCTGAGGTCTTGTCAGCTAATCTGTGTGCAATGCGCATCCTACATGTATCTAGCACGTACTTCAATCACCTGCGGGAAACGTTCCAAGTCCATATACGCTCTTGTCTAGATTGTTTAAAACTCTGGAGATATGTTATAGATCTTTTATTATGATGGACTTTGATGTGTTCTCAAGTAGGCCTAAGTTTATTCGTAAGAAAAGTATTAACAAAAACTAGGCCACAATATTTGGCATAAGGGGCGGGGAATTAAGTTTGGAAAAACTCTATCTCAAGCTTTATTTTCAATCAATTTTCAAAGGGATAATTTCTATAAGCTTACTAAACAATCAATTAAAAAACAAAATAAATCATAATATGTTAGCAGTTATACTTAAAGGGACTTTCTAACAACTAAAATCAATATATTATTTGAAATATCAGATTATTGTTATTATTATTTATTATTATTATTATTATTATTATTATTATTATTATTATTATTTATATGCTGGTTGAAAATATCAACATCCTGAGTATGTCACCTTGTGCTAATAGAGTTCCATTGTAGTTCACTACAGACTCACCTACCAAGAATGTTATGGTGAACATATCAATTTGAGATTGCTACTTAAATGATAAGGTATGAAAGTATAGACGGCGGGCTTACCAGTACACTTGTCTGAGGGCCTGTCACTGGGAGCACGGTAGAAGTTTGGTATACAAGTACATTCTGCCATTCCCGCTGAGTCTGCATGGCTTTTAGCAGGGCATGGCCGGCACATTGCGGTGTTTACTCCTGCTTTGTATGTTCCAACTTGACAAACTATTAGACAAAAAAAGAACAATTATTTTAATTAATATATTATTATCCCAACAAATCAAAAGACTTTAAATAAACATATTGGTTTAATCATTTTGGTTTTTGTTTCATATATTTGTTTTGCATTTTTATTAGTCATTATTTGGTATTGAACACCAAGTACATTACATATAATGCAATGTTCTATATAAAAGGTAATCTCATGTATACGGCTTAGGAATTACAAAATGCTAGTGATGGTGGAAAATGACTGTATCCATTACATGTACAGTTACACATTTGGGTTACTGGGAGGAAAAAGAAAAGCACCTTGCGCAAGAACTGCAACTATAATACATATTAATTCATGTCAATATTCATATAATATAATTACAATATAAACAACAACACCACTACCAGCAACAACATTAACAAGAACTACAACAACAATAGTAACAGCTAACAGTGCAGTAACATTAACAGGAGGAATAACAACAAAATATAATTATAATTTTTGAATGTTGCATATATAAGTCTGTTCTACACTAGCTAACATGGGATGAAAACACATTTGACATTGGCTCCTACAGGAATAGACCTTGAGTGAGAACAAGTGATGGCTTGCATTTTAATTAGCTAATTGATTTACTGTGTGAAAGGTCTTAGTCACTGCCACTAATGTAACACAACATCAAAATGTAATGCAATAAAATTTATTAGGCGGGTGCTTTTTGATTTAAAGGGTCACCTGAGTGCAAATGGAAATAACTTGAATTTCAACAATTGATAAAAATGGATTTTAAAAGAATATATAATAATTATATATAACTTAATTTTTATACAGTTTTTATAGCACTTGTTCACAGAATTAAGGAAATGATTTACTACTGTCTCTTATACACATCTAGATGTGTATAAGAGACAGGGGTTATAAAGTGAATCATATCTCACAACTGTTTTCACAATAGTTTTCTTATTTCAAACTATGTTAGTGTTACTGTTATAAAGGCCTAGGCGCAAAATGCCACGGTCTCTGCAGACTTCACAGTACTAGAGCCATTGGATCAAACACCTACTGGGAACGGGAACATATCCATAATGATATAGCTAGAAATCATCAGACATACGCATCCAAGCCTACCAGGTACCCAATTAATACTAAACAACTAGAGACACAAATATGTATGTTTTTATTTCATACATAGTGTATCATTATGATATAATGATGTAATAAATGAATAAATTAATCAATCAATCAATCCATTACTGTATTACATAATAAACTCTCACTTTTTTATGCCCGATCACTGCACTGAATACTCAAAACTAAAAAAAAAACATCCTTAAAAAAATAACATGCAAATTATAGTACATTAACGGTATGTGATTCCTTCATATAAAGTTGTTTCGGCAAAAAGGCCTGTTAGTATAAGAAACAATCCTTGCAAAATCAATAATCATCCAAGATTGCATACATCATCACCGCTAACACACTCCCACCTAGGGCTATTGTCTGTTAAAACATCATCAACGGAATGCGACTCCCTTAAGTAACACAGACAGTATATGTAAGGGAAACAGTCGGCATCTCTGTACGCAAAACTTTTTATATTAATTCATATTATTAGTAAATAAAAATTCCATTAGCTCTGATTGGTTGACTGTTCTATCTAGTAGACTAATACCAATGAAAACAACATGAACATAAAATATGATTGAGTTTCTATTATCAAATGACATATTGTATATTAATGTAAATGTAATGATCTTCAGGGTGATATGATCAATTAATTTTCAGCCTGTCAATGATATTGCTTCAATACAGATTTGGATAAAATTATCAGGATAAGTAATTCTAAAGTAATGGCCACACTATTAAGATCATGTGACAATACAATTGCCCATATATGGAAGTCATGACACCCATGTTCCCTACCCATCCCAACGTAGGCAAATTTGTTCTGCTAAGTGGTTAGAAATAAAAATGAAATTTTTGTTTTGAATTTTCAGTTTTCGCAACCCCAGGCCAAAACCCAGGGGCGGATCCAGAGATGTCCAAAAGGGGGGGGAGGGCCAAAATTTGGGCCGATCGAGACAACAATGTCCTAGGGGGTCCGGGGGCATTCCCCCGCGAAATTTTTGTGTTGTGAAAATAACATTTGAGGCGTTGTGGGCTATCATTTTTTTCTTTTCTTTCTTTTTTTGGTTTTTTTTTCTTTTTTTACCTCCCAAAAGGGGGTGGGGCCGGGGCCGGGCCGACTCCCCGCCCCTAAATCTGCCCCTGATACCAGTATATACTCCTGATGCCCATATAGGAGAGAATAAATATGACATTATCATGTCCATGGGAAATACACACTTGGATAGAGCTTAAGGCTAGTAATACATAGATTTTTGTTTTAAGATTCAACAGACAAGTTTGATCAGACTAATGTGATCAACAAATATATTCGCCTACTTTAAATCACATCAAAAAGAAAGTTTTGAATAAAGTTGTTTAATATCTTATGTTTTTTTCTTTCCTGTTAGATAGCAAAATCCCATGGTGGCATGAGTAAATTGAAAAAGTTTAGACATAAAATGAATACTGTAGGCCAATATTAATTGTTTGAGATACACTTTTTTTTTATAAGAACACATTTTATAAGAACAATGAGGCTGAAACTGCTGAGGTAAAATGTATAATTTATGAGGTTTTTATTTTTAAAAAAACTAGAAACCCAAAAAATTATATCTGTACCTTACTGTATGTGCACAGGGATGTAGTTAAAGGGGGCGGAGGTGGGCGGTGCCACCCAGCCTTGAATTTTCCACCCAGTCTAAAGCTAATGCCATGGCCTTCCGCCCACCCTTATTAACCCACTTTTCCATCCTTAAAATCTACTCATATTATCTAGAGTTTACCAATGTTATCACAATTGGTATAAATAAATAAAATAAATAAATAAATAAAATAAATAAAAAATCACGCACCCACCCACAAAATATCTATCCCCACCCTTAGTTTTTATTATCTACAACCCTGGTGCAGTAGTTGTTTGTGACTATGTAATACCCTCAATACAGTACACTGGTGTGCCTACCTGTCATTTGGGGCCATTTTTAATGGCATTTTTTTTGCAAGGCCCTTTTGTTCTGGGGCCTATTTTTTGCGGGGCCACTTTTTACCTACTTTCAAATACAGTGTATACTGATGTACAATACTAATTTTCTATGTTTGAAAAGTGTGTATATTAAGAATAAGTTATCGATGCATCCACATAAAACGGAGTGCATTATTTTCGGATCTAAAAAGAAAATAAACACTATTCAAGATTTCAACATAAATTATAATGGACAGATCATACATAGCCGAGTTTCCATTAAGTATCTTGGTTTAAATATTGATAATTGTGTCTCAAATGATGAATATGTTAATACTATAATTAAGAAAGCTAACTCCAGATTAAAATTCATGTACAGGCAGGCTAGCTGCTTGGACAGGCAAAGTCGTAAACTTTTATGCTCTGCCCTAATCCAATGTATTTTCGACTATGCTGCCTCTGCCTGGTATGTTGGCATAAGTGTTTCTCTAAAAAATAAACTACAAGTAACTCAAAATAAGATCGTAAGGTTTATTCTGGACCTCGCCCCAAGAGCACATATCGGACAGAAAGTACTTTCCTTACTGGGATATCTTAATACTGTATAAGTGATAGGGTTAAATTTCTTAGGCTGGTTCATGCTTTTAAAATTTTCAATAATATGGATGCTCCTTATTTAGCTGATAATTTTATAAAGATTTCTCAACAACATTGTTATAGAACTAGAATTTCCAATGACAATTTTGTAATTCCAAATATTAAAGGCCTAGCTTTGAAAACGTTTTATTACAATACTATCAAAGACTGGAATGGTCTACCATCAAACATTAAGTGTATTAACAAACTAAACGAATTTAAACGTGCGGTAAAGACTCACCTTGGAAATGTGCAAAAACCATGATACACATCTAGATGTGTATGATTGTTTATGGGACCCCATTGGAATTAAGCTGTTTTTCAGCTTTATGGGTTATCCTGGTACTTTATCATTGTTCTTTGTTCTTTGTGAATTTTTGAGTACCGAATAAACAAACAAACAAACAAACAAGAAAAAAATAAGAACATTTTGAGCCTGAAATCAGCCAAAAAATAACACTGAGCCTTGGCAAAATTTTACTGGTTCTTATATAAAAAGAAAGTGTACTGTATTGTGTAGGCCTAAATACTGTACAATCACAAACATTAGTAATGTAATTTAAAGCAATTTAATTGGAGTGGGGAATATTCCCATTAGTGTGATTCACTGAAGGTTAACAAACAATTTAACATGCATTTAAGCCATTACCAAATTTGATAGCTTCTCATAAATGATCACACAATTGCATTGTATTGTATTGTAAGGCCGCTTTCATATCTTAGAGCTATTTGCATTTTTTGAACAGTAGTCTAAACAGCTTAACAATTCTTCCAGTCTTAATTCAAATTAATTTGTCATTGTCATCTTTTCTTGATATATCTCTAGGCATGACATCCAAAATAAAACGGATGATGCCTAGAAGGGTGAGGCCTCCTGACAACCCTGTCACAGCCACCCATGGGCAGTGCACACAAATCCCGATACAATGAGGAAGGCCTAGTGGGTAATAGAGGAATCCATACAACATGATTCTGTTATACATCATTTGATGGAAAATTCGTAATAATGGAGGAAGTAGGAAAAAAGACTCTGGGCTTGTTTCTACTGATAAACACAAAATAATCGATTTTTTAAACCACTTTTTTAATGAGTGCCAGACAGCCTGCCCAACATTGCAACTGCATTTTTGATTTTACGAAAATCAGTTTTTGTGATGGAAATTACATCACCATTTTGTTTATACAACACATTTTCCAAACTGCATAATATCCTTCCCATTCCTGTCATGATGACGAGGAGTAATATACGGTGTGCGGCAAGAAGGCAAATGTTTATAGCTGTGTTCATCGGCACAACGAAC